TTGGGATTCTCTCTCTCTCTCTCTCTCTCTCTCTCTCTCTCACCTGAGCCCCTCCCCTGTTTGTGCTCTCTTTCTCTCTCTAAAAAAAATTTTTTTTTAAATAGAAAGAAGTATTAATCTGATCAGAGAATGCAAGATGGGTTGGAGGATGGAGTGCTTGCAGCCACAGATACTTCATGTGACCTTGACTGCCTCTGTGCCTGATACACCCCCACTCAGCCTGCAGGGCCCAGTTCAAACAGCATACTCTCTAAAGTCCTTTAAAACCCTCTGCCTCTGTTTCTTGTGGCTGCTGTAACAACTTTTCACAACCTGGGTGGCTTAAAACAATAGAAATCTATTATCCTAACAGTTCTGGAGGCCAGAAGTCTGAAATCAGTTTCATTGGGCTCAAGTCAAGGTGTTGGCAGGGCTGGTTCTTTCTGGAACCTTCCAGAAGTTTCCTTGCCTTTTTCAGCTTCTGGAAGCTGCCTGCATTCCTTGGCTCAAGGCTCTTCCTGACGTCACTCCAACCTCATGTTTCATCGTTACACCTCTTACTACTCACTCTGACCCTCCTGCCTCCCTTGCAAAAGGATGCTTGTCATTACATTGGCCCAACACAGATAATCAGAATGATCTTCCTATTGCAAGATCCTTAATTTAATTACATTTGTAAAGTCCTTTTTACCACTTAATTTAACATATTCAGAGGTCTGAGAATCTGACCATCTTTGGGGGTCGTTATTTAGCCTACCATACTGACCCATCTCTGGATCCAAAATACTCTGTGAGAGCATGGTTTACACTTCAACACTCTTACCATCATCACCTTACCATCACCATCACCATTACATAATGGCTCTTCGCACTTGTCTCCCCAAAGGCATGGACACCTTTATGTGCCCAAGGCCACTAAGAGCCTGCCCCAGTCTGTCACTCACTGGCTAAGTGCCAGTGGAGTAGCTATAGCATGTGAGGTATAAAGACACAAGCTAGAGAGGTCCTGGAGGTTGGACAGGAAGCAGTGGGTATAGAAGACATTGTGAAGGAAAACATGGCATGGCTATGAGGGGAGCAAAAGAGAGGGCACGGTTTTTAAAGTTGCCCTTAAAGCTAAATCTGGGTAAGAGAGAGCAGTGTGTTAGGGATTCGGAGAGGGATGTTATTTTCCATGAAAACACTGAATTTGTGCTGACAGTGGGGCATATCTGGAAGGCAGTTGGAGATACAAAGCTCACAGAGTAGAAACAAGGACCCATTTGGCATTAATCTCATTTCTATTTCAGAATAAATTTCTACCAGACCCACCAAGAAAAAGGAGAAGAAAGGTAATTATCACATGACCTTCTACCAATGTCTCCTTGGAGAGATAATAGTCCCCTTGGACCCCTTGGAATAGATAATAGTCATGTGTCACCTGGTGAAGCAAGAAACCCAAATCACATTCTCTCCCATTCTCTTATATCTTTCCTCTCTTTCATGCACACACACGCGTGCTCGCACACACACGCACACACACACACACAAACTCACACTGAGGACTTCTTCAAGAGGTCTTTCTTTAAGGGAACTTTCAATTCCTTTATGGAGATGTAATCCTAGAGAATAGAGAGGTTGGAAGGCTAATGTGCACTGGGCGAGACATTGTTGACCCAGAAGAGTTTTCCTTTGTGGAGAGACACCATGGACATGATTTTGTAGCTGAGCATCTCTGTGTAAAAGCATCAGGCCTCGCCAGATGGGTTTTGCACACCTCAGGTCTGTCTATGGAGCAAATTCTCTTTCCTTCAAAGTCCCCTTCTGGAGCTCACGGACCGGTGGTTTTCATGCTGTACGGATTCCAGGGAAGGTGGTGGGACAGTTGGTGTCTTCTATGGCCTCCCCAAGAGTATGTGTGAGAGACAACCTGTGTGGTGCAGAAAGGATATGGAAGAACTTCCATTTCCTTGACCTCCAATACAGGTGACCTTGAGAGGTGACCTTGGCCCATCTCTGCCGCACCAGAAAGTCACGGTCTTCACCAAGCTGGTTTCTGGGACAACCTGCCCCACTGACCTTATGCTAGAGACTCAGTCACTAGGGTCTGCATCCACTGGGTTTTCTGGAGAAAGAGATGCTATTTGCTCTGTTCACTAAGAGCAAACATCTCCACCCAGTGCTAGGGAGCCGAGGGTTACAGCCTCGTGACCACCTCAGTTCTCAGAGCATCGCTCCAGAGGGTCTCTTCCTTCCCCAGACCCTAGGCTTCTGTCCTTTGTGTCATCAAATGACAGGTGGTGCTTGTGGCAGTTTCCCTGCTCATACGATTCCTGTTATGCCTGATAGTGATAGCTGAGGTGTTCCAAGATAGTAAGATATAAAACTCCAATCCGATCATTTACCGGCTGCTAAGAAACCTTGTCTCTGAGTGACAGTTGTGTTCATTTGTCTGTGCACTTATGTATCCATTTAACAAACACCTGGGGAGCAAGCGCTAAGCACTAAGTGTATGCTTGGCCAACGGCAGTGCGCAGGAGGCCAGACCCAAAGGATTGTTTCAACTTTGTTGTCTAATATGGGACCATAACTATCGGGGTGGGGTGGAGGTTCTAGGCCCTTCTGAGAGGCAAGCAGTGATGTGGCTGCCTCCCAAGTCATTGTACTTTGGATCACACTGTGTGACTTGTCTATGGCCTCTCTGCCTTGGGCTGGAGGTAAAAGTTGAGGCCGCCGTTGTTCCAGACTGAAGAAAGCCAACTCATTCCACAGATATCAGTCAGTGCAAGCCTTTGGGATGCAGGAGAAAGTGGTGAGGTGCTTAGCTTCAGGAAGAAGGACCTTAGGACTGGGGACCTTAGACCCATTTTATCTTCAGGGCTATGTCCTGAGTGAGCTGCAGAAGACAGTGGGGTTCTTTGGGACAGCTGCATGGTGTCCAGGATTCTGGGCACTGTGGCTGCTGGGGGCTGTGGATATTCAGTCCTCAGCCTGATTCTCTCATTGCAATCCCAGCCCCATCTGTGGCATCCAGGGCCAGAGTCCCCTCATAGCTTCACAAAGGCCTGCCTTGGGTCTGAGAGCCAGAGAATGAACTTACATTGGGCCAAACTGCCAGAAACAAACAATTTCATGCTTTTTAATTCTCCTGTTAGATATATAGATCCATAAAAACAGATATAAAACAAAGGGAGGGCTGTGGCATGAATCCTTTACATAAAGAAGTCTGCTCAAATGTGTGGTCAATAAAAAATCATATACAATATTGTCATTCAATCTTTATCTCTTTTCTACAGACTGTCCCAGAGCATGGGAGAGATGACCCTTACGTAAGTACTAATTCCCACCTGTAACCCCAGAATAATACTGGCCTTGTTCCTCCATACATTATCTGTGTCACTGCTGTGCTCCCCCAAAGCATGTGCATACTCAGTTGGAGCATGTCACCGTGTGTGATGAGCAGAGAACGGCAGACACATCACCCACACCAGGGAGATGGTTCTGGAGCTGGTGTCTCTGCATGAAAGCATCCTTTCAATTTGTTCAGGGAAACTTTCCTGTTTATTTCCCCTTGAAAGTGGGTAGGAGGGCGCCTGGGTGGCGCAGTCGGTTAAGCGACCGACTTCAGCCAGGTCACGATCTCGCGGTCCGTGAGTTCGAGCCCCGCGTCAGGCTCTGGGCTGATGGCTCAGAGCCTGGAGCCTGTTTCCGATTCTGTGTCTCCCTCTCTCTCTGCCCCTCCCCCGTTCATGCTCTGTCTCTCTCTGTCCCAAAAATAAATAAATGTTGAAAAAAAAAAATTAAAAAAAAAAAAAAAAAAGAAAGTGGGTAGGAGAGGCAGAACTCTAGATCACTGGGGCCTCTAGAGCCAGTGGTAATAGTCAAGACTGGCTTGCAGATTAGGGGTAAGGAGCAAATTTGAGAGAATATCAGCATTTAAAGGTGATAGGGAAGGAAAGGAAAACCCCAAATATCTACTCTAAGGTGCAGGCAGAGCTAAGATGGTTTTAAGCATCAGCCAGAAGGAACAGGCTGGGCCCAGCTGGCAAGTCCAGGGGTGAACCCTGTCACGAGTCCCGCAGAGAAATATACACAGGGCAAGTGGGTGCTGCAGAGTAATGTATTCATGGTCCTTATGGAAACCCTGGAGTCCATCTGAAGGGAGCCATCAGGATGCTGAGCTGGCTAAGACTGAAGCCATCAACACGGAACAAGTCACAGACAGTTCTACGCTAACTGCTCGGGTAGTGCTCGATGATGTGCAGACCATTCTGTCCATTCTCTGCTTTGCTACGGCTGGCTGCTTTAGAGTCGGCCAACAGCAGAGATGACCCCTCTGTCTAAGATAAATCACACTTTGATTGTTTTCATTGCAACAAGATGGACATTTTAGGCAGTCAGCTTTTTGCACAACTCCAGGAGGAACCTCCCATTTTAGTATGATGTGCAGCTGTACTGATATGGGAGGCCAACAGAGAGGGGATAGAAAAAGGTTGCCAAGCCCATGCTGGCCTTCTAGCAAATGCATTGCCCAGCACGATCTAGATTCATCCACACCACTCCCATTCCTCTGCTGGAGGTGGGACCCTGGAATCTTGGGGTCTGTGCAACTTTTCTGATTTCTGAAATGGACACAGAGGGTTATTTCTTACAGCTCACCACCAAGCCCTCTGTGAAGATTAAAAGGCACCTCTTCCAGCAAGAATGTCCTCACTCCTTTTCATAACCTTTCTGTGACAGACTTTGTGGGCTGATAATAACTCTACTTACAGCTTCCAGGCCTTGATGGAAGAAATCCCTCTAGACTGTGGGCTCCCAACCTTGGCTGCTCATTGCCATCAGCTGAAGATCCCACCCTCAGAGGTTCTCATAGTAGTCTTCTAAGGTGCTGCCTGCAGGTTGACATTTTCCAAAGCAACTCTAATGGTTTTAATGCACAAAGTTGACCACAGTGAGCCAGTGCTGTTCAATCTGTAGTGCCCATCAGAATCTCTGGGCTTCTGATTCAGTGAGTGAGGTGGGGGGCCTGAGAATTTACACTTTTAACAAGTTTCAATGGATGCTGCTCCTGGTGATCCAGAAACCACTGCTTTAGAAGCCAGAGGTCTCCACTAATGACTGCACCAGGGGAATGTTTAAAACATACTAACTATGTGTCCATCCTGGTGAAGCAAACCACCAAAATCACATGCAATTAATTGAATCTCTGAGGGTGGGGCCTTAGGCATCAGAGTTTTTTTTAAAGCTCCCCAGGTGATTCTACTGTACGGCAGGTTGAGAACCACTGCCAAGCAAAAGGACAAATTTCTTGCCAAATAGATTAAAGAGACAGGGGCACCTGGGTGGCTCAGTCAGTTAAGCCTCCAAATTTGGCTCATGATTTCGCAGTTTGTGGGTTCGAGCCCCACATCGGGCTCTGTGCTGACAGCTCAGAGCCTGGAGCCTGCTTCATATTCTGTGTCTCCTTCTCTCTCTCTCTCTGCCCCTCCCCTGTTCACACTAAAAACTGAATAAACTGGGGCGCCTGGGTGGCTCAGTCGGTTAAGCATCCGACTTCAGCTCAGGTCATGATCTCACAGTCCGTGAGTTCGAGCCCCATGTCGGGCTCTGTGCTGACAGCTCAGAGCCTGGAGCCTGCTTCAGATTCTGTGTCTCCCTCTCTCTCTGACCCTCCCCCGTTCATGCTCTGTCTCTGTCTCAAAAATAAATAAACATTAAAAAAAATTAAAAAAATAAAAACTGAATAAACATTTAAAAAAGAAAATAAGAAAAAAGACTGAAGAGACGTATGTCAAGTTCACAGGCTTCCTAGACTACAGACTGGCATGTTTATTCCAGCACGGGATTGGCATGTTTATTCATTCTTTCTCAGGGCCTACTTGCAGTGCACTTTATAAGATGATGGTCCAGAAATCTTGACCCATCAATGGTCAGCATCCACGAATGTCATCTGTTATGACAAAAAAGAAAAATGGTTACATGGCCCCATACCAGGACCACCTCAGGCCCATGTGGGGATGTGCCCAGGCATGTCCCTGACAGGCTATTCCTTAAGTTTTCCCTTTCAATAAAGGGAAGACATGGGCTAGATACAAGAGCCTAGAATTTCCTCTTATGTGTGACTTTTGTGTCCTTCTTATATTGAATTTACAGATGAAAAGAATTTACAAATTGAGACATATCCCAATTTACATCAGCTTATTGGGCACAGGGATGATATTCTGACTGTTATGATCTGGAACCCAAAAAGCAGGCCACTGTGCTTTAGCTAATAAGGCAGCATTGTAAGTAAGGGCTCTGCATCCTTGTGGCTGTAGACCTCACAGAGGCACTAAGAAGAAGATGGGATATTTGACAAATAAGATCAGCAGGACCAGTGATGGGATGGATATCTGGGATGCGAAAAGGGAGGGTTATATGTTCACTTCCAGGCTTCTGGGTGGATGCTGGAGTGCTTGGTGAGATGAAGGACAACCAAAGAGGAGCAGATCCAAGACAAGGAATGTGGTTGGGGTTGGGATGGGTTCAGACATGATGAAAAACATCTACCCGGAGGTGACGGAAAGTTGAGTTTGGATGTTTGAGGACTCAAAAGGTAACTAGAGATACCGCTTTAAAGTCTGGGGATAGATGTGGAAGGCGTGGTCATGAGAGCAGTTGTGGTCATCCAGCAGAGTGGAATGAACAGGGGACACAGGACAGAGCCCCAAAGATTTCCCATCATTCCAAGTGAAGAACCTGAACAAAAAGAGACAGAGGGTTAGGGAAAAAATCCAAGAGAGTGGAATATCCTGGAACAAAGTATGAAGAGTGTTTCTAGAAGGAAGAGGTGAAATGGTGCCCCCTGTCACTGCTCCCCTTCCTCATTACCATCAAGAGACCCAACCATGTCACTGGGTTGGCCAGTCCCCAAGTCTGTGCACTATTTTGTACCTAGATTGTCACATGAGGACATAAATCCTTCTTCCAGTCCACAGTATAGACAGGATATTTTCATCTAGGTGTAGAACTGCCACCCATTGGATGAAATGTTCCCCACCATGCGGCTTTCCTCAACTGGTTCTCTTGCTTCCCAGGTAGTCCCAAGAGAGTATTCAGGTGTTCATCCTCTGGGCATTTCTCCAGCACAGACACACCACCTTCTTACATAGAAATTATAGCATGTAGGGATTCACGTGTTATTGCCACATAGATTATCATACACACACACACACACACACACACACACACACACACAACACAGGAGGAAAAAGGTGTGATTTCTTTTGCCCATCAATGGGCTCATTCCTTGACCAATTCTTATTTTGGTCTATTAATTCTATTGTTCTTAACATATGTTTGTTACTCCATAATACTTAGATACAAACACTGTCAAATGTTTAACTTCACTAAATGAAATTAAATCTGGCTAAAGGTCCCACAGATTGAGGTGAAAAATCCAGCATCAGCCAATTTTGTGGACCCCTCCATCTTCCTTATATACAAAAACACCAAATCTTCTATGTGCTCAGAAAATGAGGGTAAGGCCTTGGGCTTCAACAGTGGCAGTTGCTGGTAGGACCCTCCCTGGCCATTTGGAGGTAGCACCTCCGCACCTTACATGCCGAGCTGAGCCATGGGTATCTTCCCCCAGGCTCCCAGAACCAAAGAGCTCTGGCATCCTTCTGGTCGCCTGTGCCCATGTCTTTCCAACCCAGAGGTACTGCCACAGGCCCAAGGACCCTCCAGGCACAGAGGCCATGTGCAGGAACTCCTTCTCAGGTCCTTCAAATCATGGGAAACTTATGGCCAAGAAAATGGGATACAGTGTTATGTCATAAGTTTAATCCATTACATTAAACTCTAGATAAATCACTCTTCAATGACTCAACGTAGATGATGCAATGTAGACAACTAGATAAGACACTGTACTATATTCACCGTATTACATTTATTTGTTAATAAATTTCTCAGGTTATCTTTAATCCCTCATTTGTTGTTGTCATTGCTAGTCTGTATCAGAATCTCTGCCTTCATAAAGAAAACTGTAATGGTCTAATAACCACCTCCTCCCAAACTTCACTGCAGACCAGAATGTCTTCTTTTGAAATCCTCACTCAGTGTTGTTCCTTAATATTTTGAGGACAGAAATTTGTAAGTGTCACCTTGGTACAAGCAAAGGCCATGTGTTCTAAAGCCCCATGTGTTGACCTTCTGGGGACTTACTAGTCCCAGTGATGTCTACATTATCTCCCCTTCCAGCCGGAAAACTCAAATGAATGTGAGGTGTGCGGTGGACACGGGATGCTGTTCTGCTGTGATACTTGTTCAAGGTCCTTTCATGAGACATGCCACATCCACCCTATAGATGCTAAAAGGTTGGTGAGACCTGGCCCCCTCTTGCCCTTCCTTCTTGTGGCACAGCTCCTCCCACCATGTGCATTCATCCTGCAAAGTTTGACTCCGGTTGTATGTGTCTTGATGCAGAGCGACCAGAGTCTTAAAGTATCAGGATCCAGAAATATGGTCCAAAGCTGTTTACTACTGCCGGAAGCAGCAGATTAATGGGAAGCAAAAACTCTTCAAGTGGTTATTAAGTGTAATAGAAAGAGATGTTACCCCCACTCCCCCCACCAGGTCCCAGACCCATGAACTTTGATGGGGGTGACGACACCATACATTAGCTGTTGGTTTAAAGAACATACCTGTGATGGGAACATTAAAAAGTTGACAAATCTGGGGTTGTGGTGAGCCTTCAGAAGGCCATTTATACTGCATTCCTTTGCTTTAAAATCCCAGCAAATGTATCTTTGGTCAGAGCTGATGGTATGTTGGATAACACGGAGACTAATAAGGCATTCTGAAAGTGGTAGTGTGAGCAGAATTGCTATGGCCAAGGAGGATGGATGATTTCAACCAGGATTGTGTCTGTCCCTATGAAGACAGAGCATTGCCCCTTCATAATGGGAGAGTCTAATGTAATCTACCTTCTCCCAGGTAGTTCCCAGGGAATGGTGTCATCTCAGAGATTCAGCATAAAGCTCTGTAGTTGGGCAATGTGCAGAGGCAGAAGACAGGTCTGCTTTATTGTTGAGCCCGTGTATAGGCCCCAACCTCACACCATGGATATTTGATAGTGGGCCCCTCAAGCAAGCACTGGGGTAGCCAGGGACAGAGGCAAATGGCATGTCTAAGAAGGATCACTGTGTCCACTTGATTATCGAGAGCTCTTCAGCACAGGTAGCCTGGCAGAGAAGAATGGAGAATGAATCTAGAGGAATATGGCAGATGTCTGGCACTACTCTGTTCATAGATTTCCTTTCCAAGAAATTTCTGCAGTGCAGATTCTAGGCACAGATATGGCAATGCCAGAGGAGAGGATGCCTATAGCTCTGTGGTCTTGTGCTAATTCAGCAACATTGAGAAACAAGAGCTGGTTTCCTGATTTTTACTATGGTCTGATTATTTTCTGAAGCCCAAGACTCCAGCGCTGAAGGTACCAGTTTCCAATCCTCACAGGGCTCATTACTGAGCCCACAGTGGCTCAGATGAGAACTCTTAGTTTTGAGGTGAAAGACCATCACCCACCATGGCATCTCACTCAACAAACGGTCGGTCCTGGTACCACAATTAGTGGGAGGGGTGCCTGGCAAGGGTGCCCAAATGGGGCTCTCGTGCAAAGGAGTGTCCAAAAGAGAAGCTGGATAAAAGGTGGAAACCACCAGTCATTCCTGAACAGAGGGCTTCAGCAGCTATAGAAACAGTGGCTGATTCACAGAGCACCTACCTTTGCTGACCTTATGCCCAACCTTCCAGGGACCCATGGAGTTGCATCATCTGCAGGGTAAAAGCTATTAAGGAAAGGTACCCACAAAGCCAGGTATGTCACCAGGAATCAGAGGTCCTGAAGAGGCGGATGCTGCCTGAGGAGCAGTTGGTGAGTTGAAATGTAAACCTGAAGTCTCCTCCTTTCTGTTGACTTGAGAGAAGCAACACAGTCTTGCAGGGGCTGGAGGGATGGTGCCCAAGGGTGAACTGCTGTTCCTTGCTGTGCTTTGATCACATGACCTAACACTAAAGTTTGTATTCCAAAGAAAATTCCCATTCCATGTTTGTTTCACAGACCACAGGTCTGGGAGCTGTGCATTCTGTCCGAGCATACTTACACCTCATTCTCTCTAAGCTGCTTTTTACTTAAAATCTCCTCTATCTTTTGCAGAAATGTGAGTTTGTCCTTTTGAAGGTCTACTCCTGTTCAAAAAGCTCCTTTTTTGCCTCAAAACCGCATTATGTAAGTAACGGCAACAAAGCCCCAAACTGGCATTCTCAAATTTGTGAGATGAATCCAGTGGGTACCAGTGTTATTATCTTTCATCTTATTGATGGATGTCTGGGTCAGGTTACTCAGCCCTTGGCCACTTAGGCCGCTGTCACAAGGTACCACACACAGGGCGGCTTAAACAGCAGATGTTTAGCTTTCACATTTTTATTTTCATTCATTTCTCAGCTGGAAGTCCAAGATCAGGGTGCCAGTGTGATCTTACAGACTCCCAACTTCTCTTTGTGTCCTCACAAGGTGGAAAGAGAGGAAGAGAGCTGTCTGGGGTCTTTTTATAAAGGCACTAATCCCCTTCGTGAAGCCCACCCTCACAATCTAATCATCTCCCAAATCCTCACCTCCTGACACCATCACAACGGGGGTTACAGGATTTCAACCCGGGAAGGAGGGGGGTGAGGGGGAGGTAGGGAGGGCACAAGCCGTCCATCTGTAACAGCGGGTAGACTGGGAACAGTGCTAATAGCCTGTCCTTTGGCACTTTGACCAACAGGGTCGAGGGGCATCTCATGGCCTGAAAAAGCCCATGTGGCTAAGCAAAATCAAGAAAAAGCTGAATATGAAACTGTACATCCGAGTGGAGGGGTTTGTGCAGGACATGAGCCTCATCTTTCAGAACCACAGGGCATTTTACAAGGTGAGCGGCTCCCAGGGCGCCCCTCTTTCTGTCTTAAAGCCACTCTGCCTTTCATGGTCTTGTATCAGGGAAATGTTGCAGTTTCCCTTATCGTGTGGCCAGCCCACACAAGTACAAATTCTGGAAGTATTCTAAAAGCCCCGTGGTCTAAGGTGGGGAAAATTATAACAAGCCAGAAGGTGTCTTTGCAAACATGACCTTGGGACCTCATCGTTTACTCACTTGTAGATACTCAGTTTTTGCCCACAGAGAGCAGTAGACTGACGACCTCCTTCCAGAAGAAATGGAAACGCATGTTTTCCTGGACCTGGGTAGCTATGTGCGTGTCCCAGGAGTCTCCACCTTTGTCCCGGGTTCCTACGCTTACTCGGCCTAACTAAGGGAGCCAGTGGAGGGAGACTGGGTGCCGAGGCACAGACTCTGCCCGTGCACAGTTTGCTGTTGCCACTGTGCACCTGCCTGCTGGTATCCGGCCTCTCTGGGATGTGCGGACAGCGACCTCCCCCTCACACCCGGGCAAGTGCCTATTTCCATTGGTTCCCAGGGCTGCAGTCCAGACGCAGAGCATGGGAGGCTGCTTCCAGACAGATCCCTCAAGGCCATGGTGCCAGGAAGGGCATCCCTACAGGCGCCAGGCCTCCCAGATCACTCCCTTGCTAGAAGTGTGTTGTAAAAGGCAACTAGTGTCTCTTTTCTCTAAAGGAAGATACCCAATCAAATTTCTCAAATTTCAAAATCCTGGATTTCTTTATATATGAATTTTTTAGGGCTGTATCAAAAAAGTAATAAACAAGGAATATCTCAAGGGGTGAAGGAGGAAAGGGGACATCATGAATCTGCCTTCAACATTTCCGTACCACCGTGGTCATGCAAGGCATAGGTGCTATGTGAGAAAATCAAACAACTAGAATTTTGGGGAAAAAAATGAATTGATACGTCTCTGATGAAGAATTGGACTATAATACAGTACAATTTTTTACATCTCTGAGAAGAGATGATCTCTGAGAGAAATGATCAAGTTATCAGGGAACATAAGCTACTCTTAACTGTATTAATTCTCACTTAACACGTGGGATCGTCTAAAATGAAGCCTGGATTGTATGAGACAATGAGAACCAAACTCAGCAGCAATGGTTACTCTTGTTTTTGTCTTTGCTTTTCCAGAACAACCAGAAATTCATCAGACTGGGAAGTCAAGTAGAGGACGTATTTCAGAATAATTTCAGAAAGACCTTTGCAATTCAGGAAAGAAGCGAAAACAGTTCTCAGTCGGAGCCCCCTCTTTTATAAAGTAGCCCATCCCCCCCCCCTATCGTTAGCAACTACATGATAAAGCGCTGTGGTCAAAATGTGAACATTTTGCCTGTTGCTGTGCAAAAAACTTTTTCAAACATATTTTTTGTTGCCATTTCCACTCATTTATTTTTCTAAATAAAATCTAAAATTATCCTGTCAAGTTATCTTATTGAATTATTTGGAGCGAAATTTACAATAGAAAACATTGGGTCTTTCCACAAAGGCTCATCTTGTGTGCTTCCATTTATTTGAATCTTTTATTAGGTCCTTGAGTAAAGTTTTTCACCTCTTCTCTCCACACAGGACTTATCTGTTTCTTTCTTTCCTTTTTTTTTTTTTTTTTTTTTTTTTTTTTTTTTTTTTTACACTCTCAGGTAGTTAATATTTTTTCATGTTATTGTGAAAGTGAACTTTTCCCCCAATATATTTTATTACCAAATATTGATCCCTAATAGAAAGCTACTGTAATTTATATACTGTGGTCACCGATTACCTTACTGAATACTGGATAGCATCCTTCTTTGCCTCATACCCAGTGGCATCAGGAAGCAGAGTAGCCAATTTTCAATTCACGGATCATAATTGGTTCAGCTGATGGAAGCATTCCTCACTCAGGCCTGAAATCTCCGACAGTTCTTGGTTCTGTTGATGAATGGCTCTGCCGTGGCACTCTTGTGACCTTGCACGTCTCCACATAAACCACATAGGCAGAGTTTAACTGCCGCTGATTCGATCTGAGTCTTGGCAGACGGCCCTGCGATCATTCCAGAACACGAGAGCATAGGAGGCTGGTGACATGTCCCACTCACCGCCTTATCTTGCAGAGGTTATCACGACACACTCTCTCCTCAGGCTGTAAATTCCAATGAGGTGTGAGGCCTCTGCCTCTTGTTTTAGACTCCGGCTGCTGGGCCCCGTAACTGCTCCACTGTGACCTGAGCGTGTGCTGCATCTCAGGCTGCTGCAAATGCCACGTCCCCTTTTGTTGGGTGCCACCCCACGAGACAAAGGACATGGGGAGCGGGTGCCTTTGTTCTTCTTGCTTTTGCTGTCTACATAAGTCATAAACTGTCTGAATCTAAAAAAGGTGCATTGTTTCTTTACCAGCCAGATCAGTCAGCCTTGCTGGACAGGTTCCCGGATCCAGCATCTTCTGGCTAGAGCACCTGACAAGGAGTACCCCAGATTGGTAGCTGGTTCAGAGCACACACTACGCCCTTCAGGGAAATACTTCAACTCGGGAATGATTGCCTCCAGCTCGTTCCAAAGGTGACTCTCCAACACACCACTTCATTCAATCATGAAATTTTGTTGTTGGAATGGGTCATTTTGAAGATGAAATTAATTTACGTATGTGAGGTGTTTAAAATCATGTCAGAGGGGCGCCTGGGTGGCGTAGTCGGTTAAGCGTCCGACTTCAGCCAGGTCACGATCTCGCGGTCCGTGAGTTCGAGCCCCGCGTCGGGCTCTGGGCTGATGGCTCAGAGCCTGGAGCCTGTTTCCGATTTTGTGTCTCCCTCTCTCTCTGCCCCTCCCCCGTTCATGCTCTGTCTCTCTCTGTCCCAAAAATAAATAAACGTTGAAAAAATAAATAAATAAATAAATAAATAAAATCATGTCAGAGACACATGAATATACCACTGTGGCTGCACACAGTAGGGATTCTGTATTCAGAATGTTAATTCAAGCAAAAGGAGGCATTTCTAGTTGTCTACTTAGCTAGTTGATAGATACTCAGACAAATGGAGGCCATAAAAGCCAAAATTGATAGCCCTTCCCAAAGAGACCTTTGTCTATTTTCCAAGGTAACGATGCTCTGAAAAAAAAAAAAAAAAAAAAAAAAAAAAAAAAAAAAAAAAAGAGAAAATTCTCATGTCCTTAAAAGATTATTGAATATGGACCCTCCGCTAATTCTGGGGCGTGAAACGTCACGATGGCCTGATTGAAGAGGTTCAGGCAGTAAATGTGGTTTTAATCTCCCAGTACACCTAGTGGGAGAAGTTTCTTAATGCAACTGATGAGAGTGTTTAGGGGTGATTCAGAAACAAATGTGACTCAAGCTCTGTCTCCCTTTCCTGATGTTATGACTGAAAGGAGAATGGTCTCCTACACAGGTAAAAAGTTCGGGGGTCCTGACAGAAAATAAACTTTCTGGGGCTACAGTTAGCTAGAAAAATTCAATAAACTCCATCGCTGACCAAGCAAAGCATTTTATTCTTGAAGATCTCTCCTTAACATATTCTATTTTTAGTCCTTTGCCTCCTGATAAAGTTCTATTTTTCATTTAGATTTACCTTTTATTTATTTTTTAGAATATTTTTTAAGTTTATTTATTTATTGAGAGAGACAGAGAGAGAACAAGCAGGGGAAGGGAGGAGAGAGAGGGGGAGAGATGATCCGAAGCAGCCTCTGTGCCCAAAACAGAGAGCCATCAGAGAGCCCAAAACGGGGCTTGAACTCATGAACTGTGAGATCATGACCTGAATTGAAGTTGGACATTTAACCGACTGAGCCACCCAGGCGCCACTCGATTTACCTTTTAAATGCTGCCTCTTTTTTGTTTGCTTTGTTGAACTGCGGGGATCAGTAATGTGGATTCATTCTTTCACTATTATCTAGGATTGGTTCTTTTCAACCTCCCATTTTTATTTTGTGGCAGAAACAGTAGTATTGTCCAAATATCATATATATCCCCCTAAGTTTTCCAGCTCCTTGCATTAGGCACGTCTAAATGACTAAAACACCAACCAATGTATTATGATCACATCATTTGCAAGCTAATTCACAGAAAGGCACTAAGAATTCCCTGTGTACCCTCTCCTGCCACGTTGATTATGGAGGCCTTGTTTTGAGATGAGAGAGCCTAGAGATTGACCCCACCTGGTACTTGACCCCACCCCAGGAGGGCTCCCCGATCCACTGTGACTTTGAGTTAGCAAGAAGGAAACTTTGTTGTCTACACCACTAAAACTCAAGCGTTGTTTATCGCCATAGCGTGACCCAGAAAGAGCTGGCTGACATGTATTGGAGACAAGAGAGAAAAGCACTTGTAGCAGTGGGTGTTTAGGGTGTACGACCAGGAAGGGTAGAACATAAGACTGGATAATGGAGGGGCGCCTGGGTGGCTCAGTCGGTTAAGCATCCAAACTCTTGATTTCAGCTCAGGTCATGCATGATCTCACGGTTTGTGAGATCCATGAAATCAACAAGGAGCCTACTTGGGATTCTCTCTCCCTCCCTCTCTGCCCGTCTCCCTCTCTCTGCCTCTGTGTCAAAAAAAATAAATAAACTTAAAAAAAAACTGGATAATGGAGACTTCATTGACACGGAAGCCCTCTCCTCTGATCAGGGCGTAAGGCCCTGGCACAGGCACCCAGATCTGGTCATGTCTATGACTGAACCGGCTCTTTGGAGCTTGGACAAAAGGATGGCATTTAGCAAATGAAGTGGAGAGATGCACCAAATGCCTTAGCCTAGTACCGAAGAAGGGGTCAGAAGGCTCAGAGAGGTAGGAATGTTCACGTGGGTGGATCAATGAGACCTGAAGACATGCCATATGGCTTGTGACCCAGATGAGCCCGGGGGACATTCCCTTTACAAAACGAATAAGAGCTGCGTTGTGTGGGAGTGTTGGCATTGTCGAGACCCTCACTTTTGCCTCTCATCTATAAACCAGAGGTAACACCAATCCAGACCCAATCTCCCCAGACCCCTCCTCCTACTCATGGCCTAGAATACCACAGAGCTCGTTCCCGCAAGCAAGAAACAACTTCTCTTTTACCAATTACAAATGTTCAGATTCTATCTCATATAACAGATGGCCCACTTTAATAAAAAAGATTAATCTGGACTCTTTAACACCTATTATCTTACCTTTGAATGATCTCGCAGACAACTGGATTTAATGTGTTGTGGAAATTTTGTTGAAGATTCCTTTGCATGCCAGGAATCTGATTTGCACACATTCTCTTCTAACAGGTATGCCAGGAGTAAAAAAGTGTCTCTAATACCCATGAGATTTATAAAGCACGAGAAGAAAATAGTAACTTGTACCTTGAAGAGCGGGAGATCTTGATATTTCACACAATTCACAGTCAGAATTGAGACATGTTGAATATTATTTCTATTTTTCTAAAGAAAATAAACAGCTATGGGACTGAGTTCTAGAAATCAAAGGTGGTAATTCTAGTTGTTCTTTTATTTTTTTAAGTTCTATTTTTATTTATTTTAAGAGAGAGCAGTGGAGGGACAGAGAGAGGGAGAGAGAGAGAGAGAGAGAGAGAGAGAGAGAGAATCCTAAGCAGGGTCCACACTGTCAGCATAGAGAACGGCACGGGGCTGGAGCTCACAAACCGTGAGATCACGACCTCACCCGAAATCAAGAGTTGGCTGCTGAACTGAACGAGCCACCCAGATGCCCCTCTAATTGTTCTTTTAATTTGCTATTTGGCATTGTGGAAAAAGAAGGAAGGGAAAACCTTAAACGTGTGTGCTTTGGTTTCCTCATGTATAAAACAGGGCTATCAACATTTGTTCTGCCTTACATTTCCTGATCATGGTGAAGTTAAAATGCAATTTTTTTTTTCAGAGTCCTTTGGTAAACCACCACATACTCAAGGGCATTGAGAAAGTCGAAATTCAGTCAGAGAAGCAAAAACCTGCCCTGCCATTCATGAGACTGCAATAACAGATACAGAGAAAGCCAGCTGCAAATTTAATGGGAAACATTCTCCTAAGAACTTGCTGCAGCTATAAAATGTCCTAACAACCCTTCTTTGAAGGACTAGTGCTTTCTTACTCACTGAGGAACTTTGTTGTCAAAATCCACACACTCTCAGAAACTTGTTGTTTGAAATGATATCAGCAAGAAAGAAAAAAAGCATTGCACACTTGCTCAGAAGGTTTAAGTCATTTTTTAAAATGTTTATTTATTTATTCATGAGAGAGAGAGTGTGCGCATGAGCAGGGTAAGGGCAGAGAGAGAGGGTGAGAGA